TTTTTTTTTTTCAAAAGGGCATTTCAACTCCTCCTACAAATTCTGTAACCGTTTCATTTTAAAGTGGAAAACAGGGGGATTTCATCATATCACAGAATTGGCCATTTTGCCCATCTCTATGCAGATAATTTACAAAAGAAAGTCACTTGCCAACCAGCTTAGAAAGCATCTGAAAAGATAGCCCTTTAGCACAGTTAAAAAATGCCAAGTTATCTCAACCCTTCGTAATGTGATGAACACAGTAGGTTCCCTTTACTTAAGTGGGTGGCTTAGTAGAATTTAATGCATGTGATGGAAGCAGCATGACTAAAGCTGATGGGAGCTGTGATACAGTAAAAACAGTGAAACAGGCTGCAGTGGAGTTTGAATTTAGATACAAGGCTTGTTGACATGATGTCTGACTTGAACATGTCCCGTAACCTTTTCCCAATATCAGAGCCATAACTGCAGTAGGGTTGCAATTTCCCATCTCCCCAGTCCACGTTGTGAATAATAAAAAAGTGATGGGAATTGACATCCAGTAACATCTGGGGACCAAAACTGGGTAAAAACTAAAGAGCACCAACCACTATGTAATATATATATATATATATATATATATATATATATATATATATATATAGAGAGAGAGAGAGAGAGAGAGAGAGAGAGAGAGAGAGAGAGAGATGGCCCTCTGTGACCATGGATTCAACAACCCTTCAAATGCAACCATAAAGCAGATGTGGTCCTCAATGAACATGTTCTACAGATTTTCAAAGAGTCCCAGGGCAGAAAACTAGCTCTCAATTTTCCCTACCCATAGCTAAGAGATATGTTTTTACAAAGCAGAACTTATTCACTGACTACATGCCATTACGTTGGCTGAATAGCCAACAAGAGACAATGCAATTCCATTTTAAATTCTCAATTAACATTGTTTTTGAATCAAGCACTATGAAATATTTACTAATTTTCATTTTTATTTTCTCATTCCACAAGAATCATGTTTTTAAAAGATTATTGTAGAATCTGTTTGAATTTGCACCCCACTGTTGCTTTTAAAAGGAAATTTGTGTGGTTTCTAATTTAAGGCAGAAAAGATGGAGATATTGGCCATTTTTGTTTTTAAAAACAAAGAGAAATGCTATGCTTGTGTGATTGTTCCTCCAGCATTTCTCTGTCATGTTCCGCCTTCTATACTCTGCACAATTATAGCACTATGATTCCCCTATAATTGTCATAGTAACATTACGTGGAATGCTAGAATTTGTAAGTTTAGAAAGGGACATTTAGAATCCTCAGCCAGAAAACTATTGTGTCTCTCCAGTGTAAACAAAAAAACACAACATTCCATAGCATTCAGTTAAAGTGAAATGGTTACTGTGTAATTGTGTAGTGTGACCAAGCCCCTGGTCTCTATAAACTGGAGCCTCTGGCTACATCCAGAACAGAAAACCTTGCATTAATGTTGATTTACCTGTCCAAGATCTTAGCAAACATATTGATCCTTGTTAAAGAGACTATTTTTAAACTCAACCCAAAAATCTTTATTACGGTCATGGTTTTAGTGGCATGTGGATTGTATGTTAATTGAATGTTTGAATGAATTTATTGATTAGTTTTCCAGTTTTAATTGTATGTATATGTTGACAGCATCACTGATGCTCATGTCAAGCCGCACTGAGTCCCCTTGTGGGAGAAGGGCATGGTAGAAATGAAGGGAATAAATAAATCTATATATATAATAAAGGTGAAAGTTTGTATGCGGAGGACAAAAGTGTGGCGGTGTATGTGCTAGCTTTCTGATTGGCTGCCACTGTGGTCTCTGATTGGCCAGCCTGAAAGTTCCAAGATTCCGATTGGCTGGGCAGCGGTGCTATTTGCATATGGTCTCTGATTGGCCAGCTTCAAGAGGAGCCCCTGGTGGAGAAAAGAGTTCATGACAGAAACGGGGACATGAGAAGGAAATTTGCATATGGTCTCTGATTGGCCAGCCTCAATTCCAAGATTCCGAGATGACAAAGAGAGGAAAGGAAAAGGCTAGGGGCTGAGTCAGAAAATTACCAATTCAGACCACACTTGGCACACAGAGCCTGCAAGACCGACTTGACATCCTACTGAAACCATGGATGATGGGACTTGCAGTACCATCACTCACATTCTGAGA